GCCAGGTTTCTCCGTCAACCGCCTTGACTTGTTGCTGGTTGGGGTTGGGCAAGTGGTAATATCCGTTACCAACATACGCGTTCTCCTTCAGAGTTTGTTAACTTGATAGGTTTTACCAGTTACGGAAAGAAACAGAAATAGTAATGTAGTAGACTGGTGCTGGAGGGTTGTGTGTTGATGTGATTCAACCCGATTTGATGTGTCTCGGTGGAGGAATAAGGCGTAAGGAGAAAGTCTACACCAATATACTGTATTGAAAGTGGCCAAATGTGAACAACTCTTAGGCTTGCCTCTTTTAGGTTCACTGACAGGAAGAACAAAAAGTTTGCTTGGACAGTCCCGCCACTCCCACGCACCGTGGTTGCACAAGTGACCAGAACACGCGCTACGAACCTGCCCGAGTTGGTGTTGCGGTGCCGCGCAAGCAGTCTGGTCAGACTAAACAACTTACTGCGTTGTATTTTACATAGGTTAGCGTACGAAATATGGGTGTTTAGTAAACTGTATTCCCAGGGTCCTGCGTCACGGGTGTGCCAGTCTGTCAATTCCCTCCTTTCCGAAGTTCCTGACCCCCATTATAGAATCAGAGGGCCCCTCATACAAACCCATTGCTTAGGTGGAACGTTGACTGTGATTGGCCAGACCTAGCAAGTAGGCTTTGCTGAGTGGAAGCTTCAGCCCCGATTTTGCCCCAAACGAGCCGCGCCACGCTGGTGGTGCCCCTAGGCCCAGTTTGGCAGGCATAAAAAAAACGGCCGAGGGGGATGGGCTACAGTGAGTCGACCACCCTGGAACCTTCCTTGATAAGCGCGTTAAATGCTATCAAGGCTCGATATAAGCGGACTAAACCGAACCTGACAATAATGGAAAGCCAACCAAACACCCCTTTTTTTGCAGGCGTTTTCAACCGCCGGAATCTACACCCAAACGAGTTTCTCTGGCAAAGTGCCCATTTTCTGATCCCCCGCACCATGCGGCCTCGAGGCCACGCACTATGCGGGGTATCAGTGATTCGGGGCAATCAAAAGTAACTGGTCAAATATGCCAGCCAATCACATGATCACGCGAACCATCATGGCAACTTCTTACCATCTTCCGCAAAACCCGGAATCTCGATAGATGCCATCAATCGACACCCAAATAATGCCAACCAAACACTCCACCCCGTTTTTCCGAATGTGCACTGCAGCTACAATCCGATTTCGATGCAATTTCTCGAAATGCCCAGGCGGCATTTTTTGGGGGCCCGTTAGAAATGCCCATTGTGGCCATAATGGCCATGATGCCTGCCAAACAGGGCCCTAGCTTCCGTTTTGCGCCCCTCTCAACAGTAGTTGCGGACAAGAAACCGCCGTCAAATAACCGCAAGCGGGCAAGTGAACCTACCACATGTGAAGGCACAGCGGAAATCGACCTGGGTTTCATACCTGTTCTGTAATCGGGCAGGACTTTTCCAGGTCCGCCGGTTTGGGTTGCGAGGCAAGTGCACGCAACGCAGCACCGCGTGGTCGGCGCGGCGCAGGTTCCCCAATCCGCGTCTCCCCGCTTCGATGTGTGTCTGTCTGCCTCTCCCCGTGACTTCGCCTTCCGCCAATGCGGTGGCGTGGCGAGGGGAGGAAGCAGAGCTGGTGCTCCTTCCAACTCACCTTCTCCCCCCCCTTCTCGCGTCACACCCACAACTCTCTGGGGTCCACACCACACCAACTATGGCGTGCTGCTTTCCTTTCTCTCCTCCTGACGTGAGTGGCCTGCCTTGGTTCCGCCGTTGAACTGGCGCTAGTAAAATTACAGTGACAAGCATGTTGAGCACATGCTAACCCTAGTTTTTTTTTTTATTAGGCACTTTTCATTGGGAGCTGGGAGGTACTAGTTTGGTAGGGCAAGGATGACGATGTTCGCTCGTCAAGATGAGGGTAACCAGCTGTTGATGTCGTGGCCGCAGCCCGTTCCGTCCTTCACGCCATCGCTTAACCCGTTCGTCAATCACCCCTTCACAAGCAAGGTCACAGCCGCACAATTGTCCAGCACCGCCTCGCGATGTTTAAGTTTATCGGGACCGTTGTCCAGTCCTCACGGCACGTACGCCATGGGCAAGGAGATAGGCCGCGGCAGCTACGGCGTCGTCGTCGAGTGCACGCATCGCGGGACCGGGCAGCGCTTCGCGTGCAAGATCGTGAGCAAGGCGCGCCTCAAGAGCGTGCTCGAGCGCCAGGTGCTCACGCAGGAGATTGCGCTCATGCGCGCGCTTGCGGGCCATCCCGGTATAGTGCGGTTGGAAGGGGTGTACGAGGACGGGTCTGACGTGTTTATGGTGATGGAGTATTGCAACGGCGGAGAGCTTTACCAGAAGATTTTCCATGAAGGGAAGATGCCCGAGCCGCTGGCGGCGAGGGTTTTCCGCCAGTTATCCGACGCGGTGCGGTACTGCCACGCGCGCGGCGTCATGCACCGCGACTTAAAGCCCGAGAACGTCCTGCTGCACTATCCTAACCGCCCTGACGGCGCGGCGGCCGGCGCGGGGCTCAACATGCGCAGCGAGGCAATGGCGGCGATTCAGGTGAAACTCGCCGATTTCGGGTTGGGCCTCGTGCTGCCGCCGGGCGTGTTCGCGACGGTGTGCGTGGGCAGCCTCATGTACGAGGCGCCCGAGGTGGTGCTGGGCGACCGTTACAATCACAAGGCCGACGTGTGGAGCCTCGGCGTGATTCTCTACGTGCTTTTATCGGGCGGGCTGCCGTTTATGGACAAGGACGACCGTCGATTGGCGCGCAAGATCTGCGAGGGGCGGTACGAGATGCGGTTCAGCCCGTGGCCGTTCGTTTCCGACGACGCGAAATCGCTCGTGCGACGCCTGTTGGTCGTCGACCCGAATCGCCGCAGCAGCGTGGAGGAATTTATCAATCATCCGTGGCTCGTCGCTCATTGCGGTCCCGCCGCGCCGATCGTTCTCGACGGCTCCGAGGTTCCGCTCCCCCGCACGCCCTCCGCGCTCTGGCGCGCGGACGCGGGGTCCGTTTCCGCCGCTATCCGCGCCGCCCTTCCTAACGCCAGCGCCGCTGCCGCAGCCGCTGCGGCGGCGGCGTCGTCTGCGGCGTCGTCAGCGGCGGCTGCTGCGGCGGCGGCGGCATCGCAGCTGAAGAGCGACGTGTGGGCGCCCATGGGCCGAGGCGCGTGGGGAATGGGCAGCAGCGCGGGCAATAGCAGCGAGAGCGGGTCGTCGTCCGTACCGTCCGATGCGCCATCCTCGAGCGTCATAGCGGCAGTTGCGGCGGCAGTGGCGCGGAGAAACGGCGCCGCGGACGACTCGAGCGCAGAGACGGCCGAAGCCGCTCCGGCTGCTCCCGCCGCCGACGACGCTTCGCCGGGTCGCATCCTCATGACGTCACTGTCGGAGCCAGTCACCGAGCCGCCCTCGTCGCCGTCGTCGTCGTACGCTTCCGCGCGTTCCAACTCGTGGGTCGAGCCGCCATCCGCCGCAGCAGACGGCGCGATGGACGACGGGCTCGACATGCCGCCTGCCGGGCCGCGCCGCCGCATGTGGCGGCTGTGGCGCATGCGGTGGATGAAGCGCGGGTGGCGGCTTGGCCTGATGACGGGCGTGCGCGGCGCGGAGAAGTTAGACGCGGGGGAAGAGGGGACGGGCGCGCGGCTTCCGCGGACGCGCGCGAATGTGTTCGGCGCGTGCTTTGGGTGCTTCTTTGCGCAGCGGGCGGATTTCGAGACGAGCGCGGACAGGCTTTGGGAGGTTGAAGACGAAGCGGGGCGGCCCGTGACTGCAGCGGGAGACGCTGCTGGCGCTGTGACGAACGGACGTGATAATAACGGGGGAGGGGCGGCGGAAGCGGGGGAGGTCGGCGGGCAGCGGAGGGCGGGAGAGGGCGGCGAGAGGGGGGCGGGGAAGCGGACGGGGAAGACCCCCAAGGCGTATCAGCGGCTGGCGACGACTGAGGAGGGGGGGGAAGGGGGGGATTGGGACGGTGCGGATGGGGAAGGCGGAGAGGAGGCGGGGGGAGTGCAGGTGCGGTGCAGAGGGGGGCGGATGGGGGAGCGGAGCAAGTGGGCGACACTGAGGGCAACAGAAACATGATAGTTGTAGATGGGGGGCCATGGGGCGAGGTGGAGCTTTGGGTAGGGCTCAATAAGTAGAACCAGGAGGAAGAAGTAGATGGGTGGGAATGGGGTGGTGTGATTGCGCTAGTTGGCAGGTGGTGCTGTTAGCAGGGGATGCAGAGCGGATGCAGAGCGGTGCACAGCTTGGTGATTGCAATGGGAGAGTGGTGGCATGGTGTAGCTTTCTAGGTTAGGGTAGGGTGCTCGAATGTGAGTGCATGTGCATGGATGTGCAACGCAAGGTTGCATGCCAGTGCGAGGAGCAGTCGAGTGGTAGGGGTGTTTAACTTCTAGGTGGCACCGGCTCCAGTTGTCTTAGGAACCCAAGGTGATGTATTGAATGGTGATGGTAGTCTAACTTCTACAAATATGTAAGGCAGTAGGAACCTTGTATGGTACAAGGATTAGCAACAATGTGCTATCTGCTGGAGAGAAATTGAGCAGGGGTTTTTTTACGCAACTCCCCTTTGCACTTGCTTCCAATTTCTCTCTATCTGCGGGGTGGAAGATACGTACCGTACTCGAGGGGCAGGCAGGACAGGGACGACGTGGTAGTAGCACAGCTGCCACCAAACGGTGCAGCATAAAATCCATAAAATGCATCACAAGGAATAAAAATGCTACAAGATGCGTTAGGTGCTTCAAGCCCATTGAATCACCAAATTCAACATTCACACTACACTCAGCAGCTGACTAGGCTTGCAATGCAGATCCAGATACATGCTTGATAACACCGTGTTGGTCCTAAACCCCAAGCCTGAAGGTTGCATTCCCTAAATAGGAAGTTAGCAGGCAAGAGCTCCTAGTAACCACACCTAAAAAGCGCACAATTCAGACTCCCTCTCCCACCTCCATCCCACTCCCCGCCTGGTCCCTCCTCCCTCCCTGCATCACCGAGAGGCCAGCCAAGTTCCTCCAGGTGCCAACCCCACCATGCCATCTGCATGCCCAAAATCCCCACCCTGCTGCTGCTGCTGTTGCTGTTGCTGCTGCAGCAGCAGCTGCCTCTGCTTGATAATCGCCCTCGCTTCCGCCAGCGCCCCCCCTTTCGTTCTGCCCGTCCCAACGCCCCCCTCACCCCACTTGGGCACAGGAGGCCGGAAGGGAGCAGCAGAACCAGACCCACTCGAGTAAGCTGAAGAGCTGCTGGAGTTGGTGTAGCTTGAGGCATTCGCTGCAGCGGGAGCGCCCACATTCGCAGACGCTGCTGCCGCTGCAGCCGCCACGCTGGCAGATGCGCGCAGCCCTGCTGACGTGGCGCCAGCAGCGCGGAGGCTTGCCACGTGTGCTGATGCTGACTTGGCAGACGATGACGAGGATGAGACGTTGCTGCTGAACGGATTGCGGACAGGAGTGACCGGGACAGAAGAGGACTTGCTACCAGCAGTGGTTCCGCCATTACCAGCACCGGAGTCAGGCTGTGCAGTGGAGAGAGCAGCAAAGGCTCGCACAATCGAGCCTAGCCCCCGTGCTTTACGGGCCCCATGGCTCTGACTCTGACTGCCACTGTGGCCATGGCTATGGCTGCTGCTATGGGTGCGGTGCTCCCCATTGCTCCCCACCACATCTGCCCCCTCTGCTGATGCCACCATGTGCACTGCTGCTGCTGCACCTCCTTCCTCCCCTTCCCCCTCCACCTCCATGTGAATCTTATGCACCCCATGCCTGTCCAGCTTCTCCCGCCTCTCATGCTTTTCGCTCCTCTCCTTCCTCTCCTTTCTTTCCTTTCTCTCCTGCCTGCCTGCCTCTACCTGCCCGTCCTGCCCGCCCTGTCCCGCTACCTGCCCGGCACTGCCGCCCACAGGCACGCGAACCATTGCTCTCATCTTCAGCACTGACGTCAGCGCTGGCGTCAGCGTCTCCGCGTGGTACGGGCTGCTGCCGCCGCTGCCCGCGTTGCTGCTGCCGCTCACGCTGCCCGCGCTGCTCATAAACGGGGACCACCCCTCAGTCACGCTGCTAGCAACGCTGCTCGCGGAAGGGGACTTGCAGCTCAGATACGCGCTCTCCTCTCCCCCGCTTGCGCTTCCGCCTGCGCCCTCTCCAGTTCCCGCGCCCCGCTGCGCCGAGTCCCGCCGGCGGAGGGGCTTTTCCTTTTCCGCCTCGCAGGTTCCGCGCATGGGGAGCACCAGCGGCGGAACGAGCTTACCGCCCGCGCGCGGGTTGCGCGGAGAGGACAGGCGCGGGGACTGCCGCGGGTCGACGAGCGACGAGGGGGACGGCTTGGGGGACTGGCGCGAGTCGAGGGGGATCGCACTTGGCGACTCGGGTGGCTGCGCCGGGCGCGTGGCAGGAGACCGAACCTTCTTCTTCAGCTCGCGCGGTTCTCGCGGCTCGCGCGGTTGCTCGTGCTGCTCCAGCTGCCCGCGTAGCTCCGAGTCTGGTTGATCAGCGGGGATCGTGATCGACACACCTGCGCGGCTGCTGCCCTTCTCTGCGCAGCCACCACCCGCCGCCAAGCCCGCCGCGCTTGCCGCCGGCTTGCGCGCCGGGTTCGACGCGAGGAACTGGCTCGACGCCCTCCGCGCGTCCGTGCCCGCCGGCAGCCCGCCGCTTGCGGCGCCATTCGCGGCGCCGACCTGCCCGGCCAGCGAGTCCTCCGGCTTGGCGGCTCGAATCGCCTCCATCCACGCGGGCTTGGCGAAGCCGCGCTTCTGCGGGGCGGAGGAGGCGGCGGAGGAGGCGGCGGAGGAGGCGGCGGAGGAGGGCGCGGAGTCGTCCGCGGAGGCGGCGGGGGCGCGGCGGGGGGAGGAGGGGCGGGGGCGGAGGTAGGAGAGGAGCTCAGGCACGGGCAGGGAGCCGTCGGGTTGGGATAGCCGAGCCTGCATCTCAGGTAAGGAAGGCGGCTGCTTGGTTGGGTCGAGAGGCGGCTCGGTCCTGATGCAGGGAATCTCGACCGTTGTTACTTCGGAAGCTGACGTGGCAGATGCTTGAGTGCGCAGCGGGATGGTGATGACCGACGGCTTGGCGGTGCGAGACCGCGGCGTGGAGGAGGAAGACGATTGGCGCCGGAAAACCGGGAAGCACGAGGGCGCCGCGTCCATGAAGGATGACGTGGAGCGGCTCGACTCGCCGCCTCGTGCGGCGGAGGATGCGGAGGGCGAGTCGAGCGGGAGGTACGTAGGGGTGCTGGGGAAGGACATCGGGGTCGAGTCGCCCGAGGGCGCGTCGGCGACGGTGACGTGAGTTGCGGCGCGCGACTTGCGCTTGGGGGAGAAGAAGCGGAAGTGGGACGCGCGCGGACGAGCTGCCGGCGCCGGGGGCGTGGCGGCCTGCGAGCTGCCCTGCGACGGCGACGGCGATGGCGCGGAGCCCGCGGCAGGCGGAACTTGGATTGGCGGCAGCGCATGCGACGCGTGGTTTGCCTGCGACGACGCCTGCGACGGCTGCGACGACTGCTGCGATGGCATCTGCTCGTCGACATCCATGGCGCGCGGGGCTGTCGCGGACTCGCGGTGGCGGGACCGTCCGCGCACCTGCTGCTCCGCGGCGGACGCGCCTCTCGTCGATTTCCCCCGCCCCTCGCGTTTCTCGCGCGGCTGACTCGTGCGCCGCGTGCGCTGCAGCGGCTGCACCTCCTCCCCGCCTTGCGCTTGCGCCGCTTCCACTTGCTGCGTTGGCCATTGCCGCTGGGCTCCCGCGGGCGCTTGCCTCGGCTGCTTCATGGGCGCAGGCATGGCGGAAGCGGCGGAGGCGGCGGAAGAGGCGGAAGCGACTGGAGCGATAGGAACTGATTGGTCGGAGTCGACGTCCATCGCCCTGCCCTGGTGCGCGGCCGACTGTCCCCCGGACTGCCCCGCTCCGCCCACGCGTATCTTGTTGAGCGCGGACGGAGGCGCAACTACCGCTGCCTCCCCGCCCGCCTCCATGCTACCCGCGCGCGGCAGCTGCTGCGCCTTGCCCGCCTCCGGGTGCACCTTCGCCCCGCTCTCCCCCGCCGGCGCAGACTTGCGCGTAGCTGCGGGGGCCTTGGGCGTCATCCCGGGCATGGGCTCGGCGGAAAGCGAGGGCGCGGGGGAAGCGGCGGGACCGCCGCAGTGCTGCACGATCCAGGGGTGCTGCAGCGCGGCGAGCGCGGAGGGGCGGTGCGCGGGGTCGGAGTGGAGCAGCGAGCGGATGAAGTCGACTGCCTGCGGGGACACGCGCGGCCAGGGGTCCGCGCGGAAGTCGGGGGAGTTGCGGAGAATGCGCAGGAAGAGCTCCTCGTCCGTGCTGCCCCAAAACGGCATGTAGCCTGCGCGGGACGGGGGGAGGGCGTGGGGAGGGGAACGGGTGAGCGCGAGGCGACAGTTGAGGAAATGGTGATCAAGCAGGGGGTACCGCTGTGGAGAGCGGTCAGCTGGCCAATGGCTCGGCAGACAGCGTACAGGGGAGCAGGGCGGGGGAGCGAGAGAGAGCGCGGAGAGCAGGAAAGCGTGGCGAAGGGAGAGGCGGCAGGCGAGGGGCGTACCGGCGAGGGCGAGGTAGACGATGACGCCGAGCCCCCAGAGGTCGACCGCATGGCCGTACGGCCGGCGGCACACCACCTCGGGCGACATGTAGATGGCGCTGCCGTACATCCCCACGGCGCGCTGCCCGGGCCGCAGCAGCACGGCCAGCCCGAAGTCCGCGAGCTTCACGTGCACGCGGCCCGAGCCGTCGTCGGGCGCGAGGAGGAGGATGTTCTCCGGCTTGATGTCGCGGTGCATGACGCCCACCGCGTGGCAGTGCGTGAGCGCCAGTAGCACTTGCCTGCCGGGGTGGGTGAGGAGGGCGCGGTAAAGAAAAAAACGCAATGGGAAAGCTGGTTAGTGGTTAATTCTCTTTATTTCCTCGCCAATGTAAACGCCATATGTTACGTAAGGTTGCTTCATCTCAGAAACCCTATGCGGCGAGCGACCATCAGGGTTCAGCTACGGGGAGGCGATTGAACCCTAATTGCGGCGGGCGTACCTGGCAATTTCGGCTGCGACGGGTTCTGCGACGGGCGAGCGAGCAATAAGGAAGTCGTAGAGGTCGCCGCCCTTGCAGAGGTCCATGACGAGGTGCACGGCCTGCGCGTCCTCGTACAGCCCGCGCAGCTCCACCACGTGCGCGTGCCCGCGCACGCGCCGGTTCGCGTGCACCTCGCGCTGCAGCTCCTCCAGCGCGTCGCGCCGCTGAAGCTTGCTCTTCGGCACGCTTTTGCACGCCGCGACCGGTATCCCCGTTTGAAGGTCGCTGCATACGGTTACTACGCCTGTGCCGCCCTGCCCCAGCTGCTTGCCGAGGTGAAAGCGGGTTCTAATGTCTGAGCGGCTGGCGTTCGGAAAAAGCCGCTCGGGCGTCGCCATCGCCGCCATTCTAACTACCTTCGCGGATAACAAACCTCTTTTAAATAAGCGTTAAATGTTGAAGCTTGAAGCTGCGACCGCTGACTTAGATTAAACTACAGCGAGAAAGCACGCTCAAGCCGGGTCACTTCATTTCGGAACACCTAAACGCATGGTCTCATGCGCAGCTCCGGTTCTCGGCTAACCACATGCTAGTGAGAGCTCGATTACCAATTACTCCCTGGGCTACCTAACTTACAAACAAAAGGTGAAATGTCTCCGCTGTCGCTGCTTTTAGGGATGGCGGGTGGGAGAGGACAGGAAAGAAACGCATTGTGGTGGAGGAGCCAGGGTTTGCCCCTGCGCACGGAGTGTCGTGCGTTTACAGGTTGGTGGTGAGTGGTGGTGGCGGTGGTGGGATTGCTTGTCAACAATCCGTGCAAATATCCGCCCCTCCATACAGTGAACGTACAGTGGGGGGTGATTGTGAGAAGGGCTGTGTGAGAGAGTGGAGAGGAGCGTGAGGGAGTGAGTGAGTGAGGGAGTTGTGAGTGGAGGGCGGTCCTTGCCATTTCGCCGCACCTTTGGTTGGACTTTGCGGGAGCAACTCTCCTACCATTTCATAATTCTCAAACCCAAGCGGAAGCGCGCACGACGGAGACGGACCGCGTACCCAAGGCTCGACAACCAGTGCGAGGGTGCCATCTGGTAAAGTACGGACGGCGCGGTGGGCTTATGAGGGGCGAGAAGTGGCTGATGTTTGGGCTTGTAGAGGGGCTGTGCGAAGCACGGCGCAAGCGATGGCAGTGCGAGCAATTGCGAGGGCTGTCGTGATTGACGACAGTGCGATGCCTCCCATAACTTTCGCCACCCATGATCACCATCGCAGAGCTTGCGGTTCGAAAGTGACCACACCAAGCGGGCCTGACTCGGTTGATCGTATTTGTAACGAGTCTGACGTAAGGACCAGATTATTGTAAACACAAACCATAAGACTGATAATATAACAGATTTTAGTCAGATTGACCTGTAATATGAGAGCACGTCAGTAAATTTGGACGGTCCCCAAGCCAGACCCACACACTCTTCACCTCTCTCTCCAAGTTTATCAGAGCACATATCCTAACTAGGCCATAGGATATGATATACGAGATTCATAAAAAGCGCACTGGTTTTGAGTTTAAATGGGTTTTATGCATAAGCTTACGGTAATATCTATTGTGATTCAACAGCCGTACATGTAGTATGTTGTAGGAGTTATATCAAATTGTAAAAAACAACCTCCAGTTGAACTGTGTTGCCATGTGTAAGGAAAATCCCTTTTCCTTACTTCGCATCCCTGCTCAAACGCGTACATCACTGTAGCACCACAGTCAGCATCGTTACCACTCGCAATCCTCGCATCGACAATCCGCCCGCCACTTTCGCACATCGCACCCCGACCTCACGGCTCGGCGGGTAACCCGCGCTCCGGGCCTCCGCTTCGACACTTTTTCCCAACTTCAGTCCCAGGCCCGTCGCGCGACAACCACAGTCCATTACCGTTACCACTGTAGTTTCGCTATATATTCTTCGCTCATGCCTTCGCTCATTGTACTCTTGCTTCGATAGTGCAATTCTCGTCCGTTCACTCAATTGCACTCGTAACACTTGGTATTCAGAGCCTACGATCTCTTCTCGGACCGCACCTACACCTTCGCTTCCCCACTATCTCAATTTTTTGGGGGGGTAGACGTCTCTCAGCGACACAGCACCACCGCTCGTAGTGCTCTCTCGTAAGCACGCACGGCCACGACTGAGGCTCTCGCTGATCTCGCCCGACACCCCCGCCATGGCCGAAATCACGCTCGCCACATTGACGCAGGAGCAGCTCGACCGTCTGGTGCGCCAACTCGAAGATTCGGCGCTCGAAATTGCGACGCTCACAGCGGAACGTGACTCCGCGCGTCAGCAATCAATCGGAACACTCCAGCAGCACCAACAAATGCACCTGCACAATCGGACGAGCCAATCGTCATCTCGTCCGGTACACCAACACAACACGACAGCGTGGGACAGCGCTCGGGTGCAGCCAGTGATAGCGCCGCCCAACCAATGCCTTGCATGGGAGGAAACAGGGGCGCGCCAAGCCCGCGGGAGCCTCGCGAAGCCCGTCGGCACGTGGAGTTCGCGGCGACAAGTGGCGAACAAGCCATTATGGCACCAATGCCACTCAAGCCGCAACGCCCGCCCTGTTTCGACCCGAGCCAGCATGGAGGCCCGACGGTTCAATCGTGGGTCTTCACGATGAACGTCTTCTTCGACGCGAATTACGCCGAGTCGGACGCAGCGAAGATTCGGTATGCCGTTTCGCTGTTAAGGGGCCCCGCCATGGACTGGTGGCGAGTCATTGTGACGTCGCCACGCGCCTACGAGCCACCGTCGCAAGAGGAAGGGCCCACGGGTCCAGCTGTCACCTGGAGTTCATTCTGCGAGACCGCCCAATACAGCACGTGGGATGCATGGTGCGCAAGGCTTCGGGCGCGCTTCGAGCCGATCGCGACTTCTATTTCGGCGCGTCAGAGATTGCGCACTTGGCGGCAGCTCGGATCGGTTCAAGACTATACGAGTGGATTTCTCGCATTATGCGAGCAAGTCGGCTACATGCACGAAGCGGAGCGGGTGGACCGTTACGTCGGAGGGCTGAAGCCGGACATCTCGCACGAAATCATGCTACGCGGGCTCTCGAACTTCAACGAGATTCTCGCGCTCGTCGAGAAAATCGACATTTTACGCCGTCCGAGACCGGGGTCCTACTATGGACAACGTCCTCGGAGACCGATCGAGCACGCCACTGTACATGCTGTTGCGACGAATGCAGCTGCCGCGCCGTTTAAGGGGCGCTGCTTTGCTTGCAACAGGCCGGGCCATCGCAAGAGCGAATGCCCAGAGGAGCTAAGGCGCCGCAGAGCAGAGCAGGGGAGGGAGTCTCCAAGGCAGGGAAACACCAGCAGTCAGTAGGAATCGGGCCAACTACTGACGAGACTGCCTGCTCGCCCAACCCCACCGACCCTCACCGAGTCACAGTACCGATTCATGCTATCGATCGGACTCGGACGAATAAGGAGGGTACAGCGACGGATTGCCCAGTACTGATCCACGGGAAAATACAGGGAGCAGCAGTGAAGATTTTTATTGACAGAGGAGCAAGCCACAGTTTAGTTAATACCGCAACCGCACGAAAACTGCAGCTGACACTTAGCCGTTGCTTACCGGAGATAGACGCACGCTTAGTCGACGGCACGCCGCTGTCCATACGGGAAAAGGTAGAGAGAGTCAAAGTCCGCTGCGGGGGGAATTTCGGGTTTACACAGGAAATGCTCGCAACGACACTGGATGGGCACGATATTTTACTGGGGCGCGACTGGCTGCGGCGGTATAACCCGCGAATTGACTGGACGACGGGTAGCTGCACCGTGCGAAGTGGTGGTAACTGGGTACAACTACCTCGCTGGCAGTCGCCCGAGTCTTCAACGGTGCACGTCAACGCCATCGCAATGAAACGGGCTGTCGTTGCTGGAGCTGACGTGTACGCAGTGGACATCGCAGTAGTAGAGGAGGCAGGGCAGCCGAGTGATTTCAAGAAACTGCTGGCAGCTGTACCGCCCGAATTACAGGAACTGTTGAAACGGTACCCCAGGATTTTCCCCGACGACTTACCGGAAGGATTGCCACCTCAGCGAGCACATGACCACCGAATCGAATTAGAACCAGGGGCACAGCCAACCATACAGCGCCAGTTCAGACTGACACAGCCCGAGCTCGACGAACTAAGGAAGCAGTTAGATTACCTGTAAGAGAAAAAATTCATCCGACCAAGCTCGTCACCATTCGCCGCACCGATACTGTTCACGCCGAAAAAAGACGGGGGTTTTCGCATGTGTATTGACTACAGAGCACTGAACAGGGTAACAGTCAAGTCGCGGTACCCCATTCCCCGCGCCGACGAACTGATCGACCAATTGCGAACGGCACAGGTGTTTTCGAAAATAGACTTACGGGGGGGTTACCATCAGATTCGGGTCGAACCATCGGACTGCGCCAAGACAGCATTTAGGACTAGGTACGGGTCGTTCGAGTACACCGTGATGCCATTCGGGCTGACCAACGCACCGGCGACTTTTCAGATGACCATGAACAAGGCATTTAGGCCGCTCTTAGATAAATGTGGCATAGTTTACCTCGACGACATACTAGTTTACAGTCGGGATAAGCAGCAGCACTTAGCGGATCTAGAAGCAGTGTTTAAGGTTTTAGACGAGCACAGATTACTGACCAAAGGTTCCAAGTGCGAGTTCTTCCAGGATAGACTAGAATTTTTGGGGCACGTTATTTCGGAGGCTGGAGTTGAAATCGACCCAAAGAAGCTAAATACGGTAAAAGCGTGGCGTCCCCCGACGAACATCACGGAGCTACAGAGTTTTTTAGGGTTCGTTAATTATGTGCGTCGGTTCGTCCCCGACATGGCACAGTTGACTGCCCCGCTGACGGATTTACTGCGGAAGGGGGTCGCTTTTACGTGGGGGGAGAAAGAGCATGCTGCCTTCTCTGCCCTGAAAAATGTTCTCTGTTCACCGCCCGTCCTGCGCATAGCCGACCCACACCGCCCCTTCGAGGTTGTTACAGACGCAAGCGACATCACCATTGGAGCCGTACTGCTACAAGATTTCGGCAACGGCCTACAACCCATCGCATATGAGTCACGAAAACTGCATCCGCCCGAGCGAAATTACCCGATACACGACCGCAAAATGCTCGCGATCGTGCATGCGTTCAAAGTGTGGCGCTGCTACTTGACCGGCGCAGACGTGACAGTACGGACAGACCACCGATCACTACAGTACCTCCGCGCACAGCCCCACCTCAACCCACGACAGATTCGCTGGCTCGATTTCCTCGAGTCCAACTTCCACTACACGGTCACCTATAAAAAGGGAACCTCGAACATCGCCGATGCACTGACCCGCCCCACTACCCAGATCCACGCGATA